AGTTTATGAGAGATTCTGTGTGTAAGTGACTGAGTGTCTAAGGATTTTGTTATGGAGAAGGTCTTGGACCAATTCTCCTATAGATACATACCAAAGGACAAATGTAATTCTTTTATCATTGTTAGTTTAACCATTTTCATTTTTTTAGTATTGTCAAGTTTCTAGTCTACATTCAATTTTCCCCTTGTCTCAAATTTTAAATTTTCCCCCCCTAAATTAAATGCAAATAAGGTTTCACACATCAAATTCAGATGCTCTGTCTTTTGTCTCTCTTTCTGTCCATTGGAGGTCTCTTGGGCTGAGGTTTACTGCTGATTGAAAAACTAGAAGACCCTCAGGCTAAGTCTAAGCATAAGTCTAAGTCTGTTTCAGAGAAGACTCTGAGTTCTGCACAGATCAAGGCAATTAAAAAATATAAATTGGTAAATTCTTCAACAACTGGATAAGAAAAGCAGAGAACTCAAGAAAATAACAACTAATAAACAAACCAAAACACAAAACACTTATAAAAAGGACAGAAGAATGGTGTGGAGAACAACAAAGGCAATTAATGGTTTTGTGTCTTGGTCATGGGTTTGAGATACAATCTGAAAAGTATTAATTTATGCCCCTAATGTCCGTTTGTTACTCTAGGTATGTATTATGTGCGAAACTAGCCAACACAATGTCTGATATATAATAGGTAAGATGGTTTCATATTGTGGTGTTAGCCTAAAATTTGCCTTTTTAAGCCATTATAGTTAGGCCTCTCTGGTTTCTAGATAGCTTACCTCCAGACACATGGTCTTGTAAATCTTCAACACCTGTGGGACTAGGCTACAAGAAAGAGTAGTGCTTCCTACACTGAGCAGCAAGACTTGAGGTGAGTAAAACTTGTGGAGGCAAAACTTGAGGGAGACTGGAGCAAGACCCTGGTGAGAGCAAGACCCTGGGGATGGTGGTACAGGGACTGTGGCATTGCTGTGGAGAAACTGGGGCAAGATGTGACCCAAGGGTTCTTGCATTTGTGCTGGTCACAGTCACATGTTTTTGCTGTTCTTGCTGGATGCTAGAAGGAGAAGCTGACTTAGAACTGCTCTGAGGCAAACCATGTTGGATGATTTTAATTTGACTGCTGAACTAAAACCAGAAATTGGACTAATTGAGGAATAGTAGTTTGGAACTTTGGCTAAAATTTGGACTTGTATTGGGTGGTATTCTTTGTCTCTTCCATTCTCCAACTTACTTCCCTAATAAACTCCTTTCTCAGTACCACAACTGAACCTGTGAGTCAACAACGAATAAATGAACCTCTTGCTATTGGTGGGACTCTACCAGCACCAAGGGGCTAGGCTATGTGCTCTTTATCTGCTTTCTGCTCTAGGGCAGTGAGTGCCTGTGCTTTTCTTACTCCCTATGGCCCTTTCAGAAATTTGCTCATGGCCCTGTGCCTTCACGTACCATTTTCTCTTTAGACCAAAATATCCTCTCAAAATCCCTACTGAAAATTGCAGTGGAACTTCAAACAAATGCAAAGCTGCTTTAAAAGAGAAAGAGACATTTATAAGTGATCAAACTCTACTTATACTTCTTGTTAGCTAATGCAGAGTCTGCTCCGATTTGTCCAGACACAATGTGTAATGAGATTGGATCACTTTGATCTATAGAGTTGGGGTGATTTTGGTCCTTTGTTTCTCTATGGTTGGTTATTCTAAGGTGTAAGTACTTCCTGGTGCAACTGATCACCTTAAAGACCTGTGCATTGTTTGAAAGATGAACTAGAGAGGTAAGCTTTGTGATCCATAAGGCTTCCATTGGCTGATTTTCAAAAACAGATTGCCAAGCCTTCCTTAGCTGGAAGCAACCCTTGTTACATGAAGCACACAACAGCATCTTATTTTTTAAATGAATGAACAAAAATATCAGAGTGCTGACCCTTAGGAGCAACTGTGACCACCTTGCCATGCACTTTGTTTCTCTATTTTACACCATACTCTATTTTATACCAGTGCTCTGTACTAAGTACTTTATGTGTACTATATCTTCATCAATTACTACAATTATGAGTTAGGTATTATCTCCATTTTACAGAGGTACTGAGTTTAATTAAGTCCTTGTACAAATGTACACATATTATAAGTGACCGGGCTTGATTCAAACCTAAGCAACTAAAGTGGTTAACAGTTGTTACTAGAAAGAAGGCAAGGAAGTCAGATTAGCACTCCTAATTAAAGGACATTTACAGGAACAATTTAAAAAAGACAGTCAGAGGTCATATCTGACTCCTCACTTCTTCCTGCCACCAATATCACTTCTTCCTCCATTTGAGCAAGGACAAAACTGAGACAGGAAACAATCCAATTGTTATATTAAAAAGTCTTAGAAATCAAGGAGATGTTGCTTTGGACAGACTGAATTAGTTACTGTCAACCAGCCATTCATTCGTCAAACATTTATTACACACCTATTATTTACTGCAAACTAAAAGGCTGGCAATTTGAATTTACCAGCCACTCTGCAAGAGAAAAATGAGGCAGACAATCTACTTCTGTAAAATTTTACAGCCTCAGAAATCCAATGAGCAGTTCTGCTCTGTACTACTGGGTTGCTGAGAGTTGGAATTGACTTGATTGATGGCAGTCATTTGGTTTATTATGTTAACTTATCACGATAAACAGAGAAAAAAAATAAAAGGAAGCAAGGAATTTAATTTCACTTGGGTTCACAATCAATGCCCATGGAAGCAGTAAGAGAATTGAACAACTTAACTTTGCACTGGGTAAAGCTAAGAAGCAAAGATGTCCTTTTGAAGACTAAGGTGTATGTGACCCAAGTCATGGTACTTTCAATTGTGTCACATGAAAAGGCAGACAATGAATAAGGAAAGTCAAAGAAGAACTGATGCATTTGAATTATGTGTTGATGAAGAATGTTGACATAGACAGCATAGCCAATAAATCCATTTTTGGAGGAGTGCAGCTAGAATGTTGGTTAGAAGCAAAGATCTTGAGACTTTGTTTCACATGCTTTGGACATGCTATCAGGAGGAATCTTAGTCTTTCAAGAAGGACATCATACCAAGTAAAGTACAGGCTAAGTAATAAAGGTGAAGACCTTTAATGAGATGAATGGACGAAATACAATGGGCTCAAAGACAACAGTGATTGTGAACATAGGCCAAGATGGCGAAATGTTTCCCTCTGTTGTAGATTGTGAACATAGGCCAAGATGGCGAAATGTTTCCCTCTGTTGTACAATGTTGCCACTGGGTGTCAATGAATCAACTATAACACACAGTGACCCTATGAACAAGATTTGAACTTTGCTCCATACAGGACCGTCCTCACCAATTCTGACATATTTGAACACATTGTTACTGTCATTGTGTCAATCTATTTTCTGGAGGGTCTTCTTTTTCATAAAGTCTCGGTAGTTAGAATCAATACCACAGCACCTGGCACCATAGTGTTTGTTTATGTATCACTGGCTTATGTCTCATCAAGGCAACAGCATTTCTGAAACTTGCTGTATATGTATGACTTGTTGGCTTGTTTGGAAGATTTTCCCACTTTTCCCCCTGTCTTTGGAGTTGTTCTACCCCTCAAGGTGGCAGAAGAAACGTTCATTCTTAGGTTGCACAAAGCTCAAAATGAAAAGCATTACGCATGATACTGATAACTGGGGAGATGCGTCAGAAACTTGGGAGCATTTGGCATTCAGTCCCCCACGCCGGATCAGAGAGTATAGAATTTCCAAGAGAGAAAGAATTTGAAGTCAAGAGCTCCAGAGTTCTTTGGTCCAGCAAACCCTAGGTTCTAGTATGCAATGCCAGTAGGCTTTTGTGCAAAAACCTTTGGCGGAAAAAAGGCATACATTGTCCTCTTTACAATGCAAACGTGACAGCTGCCTATTCAATAAACGTTCCCCTCAGTTCAGAGCAGTTCTTGCCACAGAGGCATCTCCTGCGCTATAGTTATGCAACCTCACTCGCAGCGGGAGTTATTTCCTGTGCTTCTGGCTGCGCCAGATTCATGTAACCCGCCTACCCTGGGCTTCAATGGAAGTCGTTCTCCATTAACAACCGCTCCAGCTTTCTGAGATGAATGCCCAGTACAGCGAATACCCTTTGCGCAGTAAGAATGTGAAGAGCAAACTATTAAAACTGAACCACACACACACACACACACACACACACACACACGCGCGCGCGCGCGCACCCTCCTCCCCTCTTTCTCCTCTCCCTGTTTTTATTTTGCATGCAGCTCCAGGACTGCAGCAATGCAATCAGAAAGACAGCAGGCGGAGCTCTGTTTGCAGTCCCTCCTTCTACCCCCACCAACTAAATGTGAACTCAAGCCAGTTCCATTCTTCGCTCTGCAACACACACACACACACACACACACACACACACACACACACACACACAGAGAGAGAGAGAGAGAGAGAGAGAGAACTGAGTAGCCTTTAAATTCTCTTTCTGAATGTACTGTCTTTCTAATCTCTTCGATCTAACAATCTATATATTCCAAACCGAGTAACGGGGAGTAACATGCCGCAACAATGCAGGCTCCCTAGCAGCTCCCCTTGCAGCTCGCACCCCCGCCCCCTTTCGCAGCGTGCCAAGATTTGGAGCGCCCGCATGCACACGAGCACTAAGCGATCGCATATCCCTCCGCCTCCCTCCTCCTTTCCCCGCTCAAGTGGCTCGACAACGATTTGGGAAATGAAGGGAGGAGGGAACTACTTTCCTGAAACTTGCTATGCTGCACACGACTTCGAGTTGCAGTGATTCGCCCAGAGGCCGCAGTTTTTTCCGTGCTACCAGCTCCCTCACAACCCGGGCACCCAGCTGGACAACCCCACCCTGTGACCGCTCTGACCCGCGAGGAAAGCAGGCAGCCGGGAGAAATCGCGAGGGACTACTTCGCCTCCTTCTCCCGCGGGCGCCCCCGGCTCGGGCAGCGGTGGCGGCGGAAGGAGCGGGCGGCGTGAGCGCTTCCGCCGCCCCCGTCGCGGCTCCCCTCTCGCAGGCGTGAGGAGCTTGTCCGCGGAGCTGCTGGTGGACACCGGCTGGCGGGGCACCTCCGGCCGCTCCTCTCGCTGCTTCTCGGGACCTGGGCCCCACCCGTTCTGCTCCCCGCCCGGCCCGAGAGGGAGCGATCGGCTCGCCTCGCCCCCGCCTCCCCCTTCAGGAGGAGTCCCAGCTGGAGCGTGTCTGGAGGAATCCGCCGCCGCCACCACCGCCGCGGGGACCGTCGTCCTGTTCTACCCTTTCCTGAGAGACTCAGTGGCCGCGGGGGACTGAGTCTGCAGCCGGCGGCGAGGCGGGAGATGGTGGGCTGGGCTCCGGCAGGACCGCGCCGCCGCCGCCGCCCGGAGCTTTGGCTCAGCACCCCCCCGCCGGCCCCCACCGAGCGGAGCTCTGCTTCCTCCTCGCCGCATCCCTGAGGGAAGCGCCGCCTCTGCTCCCGGCTTCTCCGCCCGCCCGCTCCTTCCTGGCCGGACCCCGCCGCACTCCACCCCGGCGGACGGTGCCGCTCTCCCGTAGCCTTCTCGGTCCCCGGCCCTTTTCTCCTTTCCACCCACCCCTCCCTCCCGTCTGCGCGGAGCCCTGGGCCGGGCGCTGCTGGAGCGGAGGAAGAGGCTGGGGTCGCCACGGCGGAGGCTGCTGCCGCCACCCCCCTGCGGGGGTGGCCGGGGTTCCCGGCTGGGGGGGCACCGTTCCGGGTGAGGCGTCCACCATGGTGAGGCCCCTGAGCCGCTGCCCCTGCGCCCCCCCGGCCGCCGCTGTCTCCTGCCCCTTGGTGCTGCCGCTGCTCCTCCGCCTGCTGTTCCTCCTCCATCTCCGGATCGGATCGCGGTGAGGGAAAGATGAGCGAGGAGACGGCGACTTCTGACGAGTAAGCACCTCCTGGAGCTCAGGGAGCCCCCTCCCCCCGCCCTGCGGCGCGCCCGGGACCCCTGGGACTTGGGTGCGGGCGCGCTTGCGGCTCTCGAGAGTTCGCGGGGTCTTGTTTGGGAGAGAACACCGGATTGCTTAAAGCGGTTTTATTTGCCAGCCTGGCCCCCCGAAGCCCCTCGTTTTCTTTGCTTGCTCCTGGGGAAGGGGAGCGAGCGTCGAGGCGGGGTGGCCCCAGTGCGTCCGTGGAGTGGACTCACGGGTGCAGGGAGGCGGGTGCCTGGCGCTCGGAAGCCCCGGGGCCTGCCCGCCGCCCGCCCCCCAGTAACAGTAGATACACCTTGAATGTTCGCCCCGCTTCCTTTATCGCGATTTCTCTCGGCAGCGAATGTGTGGGAGCACCTCCTGCTGCAAAACTGCTCTTGAATCTTTAATTCGATGAGTCAGTGGCTCTGAAACACTGATGAGGTCTCCTCCCCTCCCCCCCTCTTAAACTTGTGACCTGTGAGAGTCTCGTGGAAAAGGAGGTCTGGGGAATCATTGTTAGGACCTCGGGAGATAAAGGGCGCCTGGAGTGCCGGGGGTGCCGACCTTTACCTTTGCCAGGGCTGGATGTGCCTTCATCAAGGACAGGATAATTTCTGCTCTCCAGCGAGATTAAAACCGTCCATTTTTGTTGACTTAGCAGTATTTACATTACTGAGCATGTTGATGACTTCATTCATTAACTTCTGGAGGTTCCTAGCTTCGAGTGTTGCTTATTTACGTTGTCCTTAAGGTTCTGCAAACGAGCTACTTCATCTTTTAGATCTTTTGCTTCGGCGTATCCACTCGCCAAAAGCAGAGTCGTGCATGCGTGTTCGTCTTTGGAGACAGGATTTTACTCCTGTGCAGAAAATTAGCATGCCCTTTTCCGGGCTTTAAGCTCAAGTTTTTTTTTGTGGAGGACTGGAAAGAGTTAAAGAGGCAGGAGGAGTCCTTGGGTCTGTTTCTAGAAATAAAGCACATTCCTCAAGTCAGACCTTGTTGAACGAACTTTAAAGTCCAAATCCGAGGCCTGTTTGACATAAGATCGCTTGAGAAATGTTCAGCAGCTCTCTCCCCTTCTCCCACCCACCCCCAGAACACGTTTCGGAAGAGCGGGTGTAGAGGAAGGTAGATTGCTGCAGTGTCAGTGCAGGCTGGAAGCACAAGTGGCCGCCATGTTCTCGCTCTTTTTGTGAATCGCCCTCATTTGCATAGCACACTCTTCATTCATAAAAAAAAAAATAATTAAACATTTATCACCTTTGGACATCTTGTAAGGATTTCCTAAGGGGAAAAAATGCCCAAAGCCTGACAGACTGCTTGCAGATTTTTTACTTTAGGAAGTAGAATTCAAAGTTTTCAACCAAATGAAAAAAACATAACGCACACACTAACCACTACCCCTGTTCTCAGTATGTTGACACAGTTATGTGGGAAATATCAGTTCGGGGAGGTGCTGGGATCACGTGATTGCCTTCATTCATAAAATACCTGGCTGTCCATTCACAGTGCAGTACACTGTCTCACTGCCTTCGGCTGATTAGACCTACTTTGAGAAGAGAGATCAAGAAGTTTATCTCGGATAATTCTCTTGCTTAGGAGAAAAACCTGCTAAAACTCCTGAAGGAAGTGTTGGTAATTTTTATTGGTTCCTTCTTTCAAGCAAGTAACTTGGATCAAAATGTCAGCTCTATTTAGAGACGGAGAATTCTTAAGAGATTTTTATTACGATGTTTTTTCATGTAATCTCGAGAATACCTCCCTGTGGCTGCAGTTAATAGAAAAGCACATGATGGCATGTGAGTTGACACACATGTTAATATATTGTTTTTCAACTGACCTTTTCTAAAAAAATAGCCATGGACAAAAAAAAGTGCAGGGTTTTGTTATAGGGATATTAGTGAGTGATACAGATGTTATACTAAAAGAACTTAAAATATTCCTAGTGTTTTGATTCCGAAGATACTGATATTTGAAATACAGAGTAGCAGTTTTCATTAAGGGGATTTTTTTTTAAATCCTAAATTATTTTAGTATAGGATAGCTTGGAAAATGTCTCACTCATTTGGACTTTTAGAACACAGTTGTTGCAAATTATTTTATTAAGAAATTGTTCCCTAGGGGGTTTGTTATAAAAGTTTTGGTGGGACAATAATAATATATTTTATTATAATGTATTTCACCAAGAAACTTTAGCTCTTCATTGGGACAAAATTCTTTGGGCATGTAATTTTTAAAAAATGTATAGAAAACATTTTTATATGTTATTTTATAGAAAATAGTTTTGTGTTGATCAGGTAATTCATTTTGATAGAGGAATATTGACTAACAAGAAATAACAAACATTTTTGGAATACCACTTATGTTCACATAATTTATCTACTTTATCATTAATCTATATAATAATGCTTTGAAATGTCTAATTGTTCCTTATAATCATAAGTAAAAATAAGGAAAAAAGAGCAGTATATTAGGACAGAAGCTTTTAAGATGGCGGTGTTGAAAATGTCCCTGTAATAGAGATTTTTATGTTCCTTATTTTCTCCTCTCCATTCTCCCAGGCATATTGTAGCCACAATCTAAGAGGGTTTAATTACAGAAATAGAAAATAGAAGTTATTTTTGACCAGATTTCACCCTTTTTTTAAGAAAAAAAGTAAAAATAATCATCAGTTTCTTGGGAACCTTTCTAAATAGGTTTGTTGTAAATTCTAGTTTTATGACCTTTTGAGGCCTAATTCAAATCCTTTAATTGGGAGAAGGGAGGAAAAAGTAAAGAACAAATTGAGATCTCTATAAAATACCTAATTTGGTATTAATAATCTCTGCAAAGACATACTACTAAGAGGTTAGTTGTAAGCATATTTTTAATCAAGGATTAGTAGAGGGTCTGTTATGTGTAAGGCTCTGTTATGCACAGTGACAAACCAGAATTCAGATAGGATGAAGCATTTCTCAGATGTTCAGATTTGTGTTTTTAAAAACTCTACTTTTCAAGAGATGATTTTTTTTTTTTTTTTACCAGAGGATTAATTTTAACTTTTTTATTCCATGGATATAGTGAGAAAATTTAATAATGTCAATATTGGTTTCATGGAGCTGGATATATTTTACCAGAGGATTAATTTTAACTTTTTTTTTTT